TATAAAGCAGATGAGAAAATGTTTGAAGAATTTGTGAATCACAAAAAGTGAATTATAGTGTATACGTATGAAATCATTTAAAATAAAAGTAACTGTTTACAGAATGTAAACTTTTCATACAAGAAATAAAAAGAAACACTAACAAGTCTTTATGTAGGTGTATAAAATCAAATACTACTAATTATTTAATAGATTTAACCCGAAGAGATTATTTTGAAATTAGAATTACTTATTTGCAATAGAGAACGTACATGCATTGAAGAATCATAAAAGATAGAACTGTGAAAAACAAAAGTTACTCTAAATTTAATGCTTTAAAAATAAATGTATACCATAACCGAATCAACCCCCAATAACGTATAGCGCTAACCTATGATTGCTGTTTAATGTGACATCATAGTTGTACATCACACACGCGTCAATGCGTCCAGCGTTGCATCCCAATAAGACGAACCATAGCATGGAAATAAATGTAATAATATTATTTATTTAAATGATCAATGAATTTCAAAAATAAATATGAGTATGTCCAAGAATGAAAATATTTCTTATGCATGATGTTTGTGTGATTGTGTATCAAACTTTCATTCAATCTACATGGGAAACAATATGTATATTCTGAATATACACTAGCTATTTTCATTCTTTAAAAATACATGTTTTAATCCATTAATCCTTCTTGGTATAAATCATGAGTGAAAGTTTTTTCACATGAATCAATTAATTTGCAATATTACACCTACATATTATCAATGCTTTTACTGTTTGTGAAAAACAGCCAAGAAGCATTACATTTCATAAATAATATGCAGTTAATATTTAGACATCATAGAAATTATTATTTGCTTAATTAAAATTAATTAAAATCTTTTCTTCAAACTGTAAACTCATTTTATAATCATTTGTAAAAATAACGTGACTAATATTGTTATTTGGATATGTTATAATATATTATTTGCCAGTAGTTAAATAGTCTATAAATATTCCCTCTAATGTCCTTATCAGAATGTATGCAAACCTGTTGTAAGTGCTGGTGTCCATTCTTGTTCACCAGTAGCACCCCACAATAGTGTCAATGATTTATTTCCGGTAGAAGACACTGGATGTCCACTCTTATCGCCACTTGATAGTGAAAGATTTAACCGCTGGGATTTACCTTTTGTATCTAAAAAAAAATAGATATAGCTGTGATTGTGTTATGATAATATAAAGCACGTCAACTTCATATGAAATACTAACGATCTTGAAACTGATTTGAATTAGAAATATCATTATGTTCCATGGGAGATCCACTTAAAGTGGAAGTAGCATCAGAATGTGACCCTGAACACAATTGTGTTGGCACAGCTTGATAATGATGCTGCTGTATAAGCACACCTGTTGGACCTGTAATGTTAATTGAATTTAATTATATGATCTCAATTTCGTTAATAATATTCACCTTTGGGAAAAATATGTGTCCATCTTCGTCTATTACTAGTAAGTTTAATTGTAACATGGGATGGATCAAAAGGATTGATAAGTGCTCTACTAGGTCTAATACTTGATGGTTGTGATATTGCATTTGTTGGACTTCCAGCACTGCCAACAACTGGTCTAAATGGTGGAGATATTTCAGAATCTGTTAAATCGCTTTTCACTGACGTCCTTGACTCTGCATAATAAAAAATTATTTTCTCAGATTTATGATTTACAAATTAAGTTTGGGATGTATAAATTCCTACAAATATATACCATTGATTTCTCCATTAGACTCACTGGTGACAATATCATCTGTTCTATGAGGTATAGAAATTGCTGCACTTCTGGTAGTAGCTGGAGGTGAATGTGATTCAGGTGGTGGATGATGAATGTCAGGATCTGACATCTTTCTTTTTAGTTTTAATATGTGTGCAGTATTGTATGTCTCCATACTTGCAACACTCGTCTTTTTGGTTCTTGTTGTAACCCGTTGCAAACTACTTACATAAAATTTTGAAATTCAAATCTTTAGTTTTAGATTCTTACTAATGTATGTATTCAATAATAAATTTACCTTGAGGTGTGGACTGAAGGTAGCTGAAAAACTTGTGCATCATATGCATCATAATCAAACAAGGTATTATGTAAGCATTCTCTTGGATCTTCTTGTAAAAGTTTATTTTTACATTGTAATTTTCCATTTTCTACTGGTTGTTTGGATACTCTCTGAGGAAGTTTTATACGAGGTATAAACGTTGAATAAGGAATCTTTTTGTTTGTTGAATAAAAACTAAGATTTATCCAATGTGGCATACTATAATCATCAGGTGCATTTATAGATGTATCTTTGTTATGAAACTGAAATGATATATAAATATTAATATGTATACATAGAATTATTATACTGTTATTTAATACCTTTAATAAAGGAACTGCATGTAATGGCTGTTCTCCAACACACACTAAATCACTACCAACACCATTATCAATGATTCTTTGTTTTGTTACATTTGTTAATTCTCTATCAACTTCAAATACACCTACACCAGGTGTAATTACCACTGATAATTGACCAGTTCTATCAAAACTACGATCTAAATAATGCTTCTCAAAAACTATAATAAAAAAGTATTAGAAGAATACATTTTATTATGTATTGGATTGTATGTAAATAATTATTACCATTTAAGGACATATTTAAAACTTCTAAAAAGTTGCCTTGTGCAGCTGTTGAATTCACTGCTTTTGGTATAGTAATACCTGGTTTTTGATGATATTCCAATACAATTTTTTGATAATCAGTGAAGAGCTTTCGTAATTGTACCAACACATTACTCCAATCTTCAAATCTTTCATTTTGTACTACTACTCTGTAGAAATCTTCATAAAATCTTCCCCTATAGTCATGTTGTAAACATTCACGCATATGGTTTGGAAATTCATCCAAACTAGTGGCATTATGAAATGTTCTTGAGAATAAAACTATTGTTACTTCATGATTGCTACCATTCTTTTTCCATTTTTGAAACAAGTCAGCTAGAAATCCATTAACAGCTTTTTCAAAATATAAATCACCATGAATGTCAAAATCCCACATTTCAGAACTCATTTGAATAAAAAGGTACACCATGCTCGTCGAAGAACGAAATACAACCTAAAAGTTATATTTTTAAAATATTGTTTTGTATATGTATTCTTGCATTATATCTAAATGTAAACCTTTGTGTCATTAGTTATAACACCACAAGCAACTCTGTCACCCTGTGACCACATTTCATAGACTTGACATCTTATACTGCCTCCACAAAATTCAATTTTTTTGTTCATATATACACAAGTATTAACCTGATACAAAAGTATTCACTATAAATCATTGAATTGTACTTTATAATATTTAAATATAAATATATTCTACCAAGCTATTTTTGAGTCTCCACATTTCACTACGGCCCAAATATTGATCTTTAAAAGTAAGTTCGACAGAATCCAAAGCAACATCATCTGGATTTACAACGTTCATATAAACATCTCCAAATGTTCTTAATTGGAACATTGTTGCTACATTGTTTTCCACACTAATAGTTTCACGTCCTTGTAAATCCTCCTTGAAGGACGTGACTTGAAGAAGAAGTCGACTAAATTCAACTTCTGGGTGATAAATTTCAACAACATCTCCAGTCTTTATACCAGGGTGATCCTTTGGATTAATTATTAAATCCTCTTCGCTAAAAGTTTTCTGATGTACTATTAACTTGAAAAGCTTCATTTTTAACCCATTACTCTTTTAATAATAAATTTAACTGTAATATATAAGTTGTAAGCATAAGCAGTTATTTTATAAATGTATTCATTGAAGCAAATAACTTACTGTCAGTCTTCACTGAATATGAAATATTTCTTTAAAATGTATCAGATAATTATTGTTGTACAAATAAATCATTAATGTGTATTGTTTATAAGTAATGATTTTTTACAAATACAAAGTCCTACCAAAGAGTAGGGATCTACTTTATTCCACACCAACTGTAAGACCTATCTCTCCTTGAATGAAATTTTGTGTTGATGTTATGTACATAAAATGTACTTCAATTTTTATCTTTGATTTTAATCGGTAAAGGAAATATTAACACTAAACGCGGGGGATAAAAATTAACGTCAAACTCAACAAGATTTTCAGTATACTTTATTTCACAAAATTTTGGTAACACGTATTTGTTTTACAGAAGAATGTTACTAGCCATAAGCTTCTCTTATACGATCAATATCAGTAGCATATGTATCAATTGCATGTGTTTCCTGCAATTTGATACGATATTGATAAACTTTTATTCAATTATACAAAGTACTGATATTTACAAGAAAAGGATAAACAAAATATTTTACAAAGATATTACAATAACAAAAATAAGTACAGTACGTAAAAAACGAAAGTATACATAGATGTATTTTATAAAAAATCTTAAAAGCTAAATTACAGAGTCGGATTTTATTCTATCGTATTATACTCCTTGTATAATTATATGGAGAATGCTAAAAGAAAGAAAGCATGATAAAAAATTGCATCGTTTCAAAATCTTTGAGAGACTTCTTGCTGTCTTTGTCTTTTCTGCGAGGGGTAATCCAGGAGAGACAAGGATTACCAATCTTGATAGAAGTATCTCAGTTTCGCCACATCACATCTTTTCTTTATTCTACTTGATTTTCGACAGATTTATTAAATTATCCATGCGATTAAATGATATCACAATGATTTATGAAGAAATACTTTATCAATATAAATTGCAAAATGTCTGCAATTTTTAAATATGATAACGCGATAGTAACTTTTTGTTACAAAACTATCAATCAGAATTACCATACTTTTCTGATAGGAAAAGTAATATCACCTAGTGTTACATATTCCAATAAAATTTCTGTACATTATACTATAAGAACAAGTTGGGAAATTTGTAATGAGAGGAAAAATCATTTTCCCTCTATATGACAGCACTACTACCAATCGAATAAAAAGTTTCTAGAAATGCGGCGTCTGCTAGAACACTGACAGTGTTTTGTTATCAAGAGAAGGGAGGAATTTAATCTGTCCTGCTATCAGATTTAAAGCATTTTTTACCGATACTGATTCATTGATCAAACCCTAATCAATGTATCTCTTCAATGTTCATATACTATCAATGTATTCCACATAAAATGTTAAACGTGGTATAACGATTAGTCATGTTACGAAGAACGTATAACCTACGTACGATGTTTCTAACGTAACGTCTCAACATAATTATCGTTTGAGAATTAAACAACCAACTGATTAAATGATGAGAGATGCGTACCAAAGGTCTGCTATTGTTGCTCATCTGCATAGCAGGCAGCAGCATTATTTTTATTGCTTTCAGTAATCAACGACCTTCCATTCAAACTCTGGTTACAGAGACACACAAGCAACTGCGAAGCTTCCAGGTAAATGTATTTATAACTCTGTATTTAATTCAAATTTATGACTGACATGTATAAAAATAATTAGTTCTGAATTTGTAGGAAAACTTAAAAGATGTGGAGGAGAAGCGTTTGGTAACAGATTCTAAGTATCTTGCGATGCTTGGTCTGGATGGACAAACTAGCACAACACCTTTTAGTTATAAGTCTCAAAATGTGACTGTTGTATCTCTTATAAGGCCTGGAAGTGAACAAAATATTTATGGCTTTGTGAGAAACGTCAATCATTTTTTGCCAAATAATAGTATTATCATTTATAGTGTTGGATTAAACGATGATTCTTTGCAAAATATTAGAACACCTTGTAATTCTACAAAATGCAATGTGATTCATTTTGATATAAGTCAGTTTCCAACTCACGTCGAAGATGATAGACTGCATGTTTATAGACCTTTAGTTATTCAGGTAAGTAAGTATTTTAATATTTAAATTCAGTTAATGATAACACAATGTTCTTGGACTTAGATATTCTTTTCATTTGTTACAGACAGCTTTAAACACATTGGGAAACATATTGTATATGGACTCAAATATCCGTTTGAATTCGTCTGAAATTGCAAAATATCTTTTACCAAAATCTGGAATTTTGGCTTGGCCTACAAGGCATGCAATTAGCTCTTTAACGCATCCAAAGATGTATGAATATTTTCACGTTTCTGCTGAAAGTTTTTTCTTTCTGCCTTTAATAAGAGCATCACATTTAGTGATTAGGAATATTAAAGAAATTAGGGAAAAAGTAATGTTGCCATGGGTGCAATGCGCGCTGACAAGAGATTGTATTTGTCCCATTGGTATGTATGTTAATATTTGCTTCATTAATATATTTATTGTCATTATTAGTGTTTAAAATGTATAACAATTTTTTTTTAATCATTGTAGGAGCTCAATCAGCAGGCTGTCGATTTAATAAGAAACCACAATACCGGTATTCCGGTTGTCACGCGTATGACGCTTCTGCACTGAATATCGTACTCGGATTGCATTTCAATTTTGACGATACGTACTACGTTCATCAAGAACGAGAAACGTACTTTAATAAAATCCAACCCGAAGAAATCACGGAAGAGTATCTTCTAATTACGAGACAGAACAATGCGACCGAGTCAAACTTAAGAAACATCATATCAAACGAACGTTAACTTCTCTGAGATCTCTATTTAAAATCAAGAACTAAGTGATACGTCGATCAAGCACAAGTTAATATAAGCGTAACTAATAAGTTAAGAAACAAATAAAGACTTCAATCGAGAAACTGTGTTTTCTTCAACGAATAATCCAAACCGTTTTTTAATTTATTTATTCAGTTCATCTACTTGTAAATAATTTTCGCTATTTGTAATGTAATTAAATATAGTAAAATATCGAAAAGCGTCGAGCGTGATCTGTTTTTCTTTTCGGACAATTGTTGGAATAGGAAGTCAATTACACTATCGAATAGACGTGTTATTAGGACTCCTTTGATGGAGGGTGTTCCAGATTGAAGGCGACATCTCCAAATTCAAAATCCGTACACGAAACTACGCAACCTACATAAATTTACTTCGTAAGAGTTCCAAGTTGTAGCGTCCTTTCGACTGTACCAAACAGGATTCGTCATTGTTTGCAAACGAAGAACGTAATGTTACGTAAATCATGGACGAACACAATTATCCAAGTTCCGTCTGGACTTCTAATTAATTGAAAGACAGTCGCAGACCAACGATATGTGAAGAGTTCTTGAAATTTGATATACTTTCATCTTCTGTAATCTTCATCACATTATCTGATTTGGGTTACTTGACCATGTTTGACAGCGACATTGACAGTTGGTACAAATGGAAACGAGGAGATGATATTAATAATACCTGCACCGGGATCAATGCTTATGCTATGAACGGTGTACGGTTGACCAATTCTGGTCCTTTAAATCACTCGCAGTCGAATAACCACCTAAGGGAAACTTCCTCGAGCAACGGATTACTTCGCTACGATCCGATTTCTACCAGCTCTAAATTGGGTTCGGAAGTTCGATTCATCAATCCGGCGATATACGCCGAAACTGTAAACAATGATGACGAGGAGCAAGAGGTTGAGATTCGAGTGAAGGTCAGCTCGAAGAAAGACGGACAGATCGGTAATCATGGTGACTTCTCGCAAATGAGTGACATGATGACCACGCTGTCTATCAATAATGATCTGGCTACCTCCTTCGGGGATCATTCCGGTGATCCAAATTCAGCTCAAGAAACGTATCGCTGTTATTCCTTGAATTCTCCTACTGCATCCTATAAGTCTGAAGTCATGCGTTCCAAGTCTGTAACTTCCTGCAGACCCACCACTCGTATTGAGAGACGCTGCAAAATCATTGACATAGGGGATAAGGATGATAGGATGTGTGCTAGGCAAATCAACTCGGGAGAGGAGAGGTATTTTCTGGATAATCATGTGTCAATGTTTATCTTGACTATCTGAAGGAAGGACTTCATTCTTTTTCTTTGTTCTTGAAACAATTGTTAGGAGGCTTCTCTTCCTATCTTTAGTTAAAATATTCTATGTTTTTTTAAGTTCTAAAAGGAAATATATCCGTAGGTACGTCGTGAACGGTCATCGGGTGTCTACAACATCGTTGTCCAGCATCCGAATCTCCGAGAGCAGATCAAACGACGGCGAGTACCTGAAGAAGATTACGTACAGCGAGTGGATTCGAAGGAAACAGGAAACGATTCGACGAAAAAAGGAGGAAGAAGAACAAGCTGAGAAGAGGAAACAAATGGAGGCGGAGAAATTGGCTCGGGAAAAGGAAGAGAAAGAATCCCGGGAGCGAGAGAATTTTTTAAAGTGGACTGAGAAGAAGAAACGGGAAGAAGAGAAGAAGAAAGCCATGGTCGAGAAGGAACTGAATTTACAGAAGCAGTTGAAAGAGTTCGAAGATGAAACGGCTGTTGTCAAGAGTCTGCATCTTCTTCAGTGGAATCGTAAGAAGAAAGAGCAAGAGAGAGGTAAAGTGATGAAGAAAATGAGAGATGAAGGTAGTTTATAGTTAATGTTTGCGTAGCACGTCGAAAGAAAGAGGAAATGAAGCAGAAGCAGTTGGAGGAAGAGAAGCAGAGGAGATTGGAGGAGAGCAGAAAGGCGTATGAGAATTGGCGAAAAATGGCGAAGAACAAACCGAAACCGGCTACACAGGGACTTCTACGTTAGTTAATTTAGTTTGTTGTTTTAACACATTCGAGACTGTTGACTCATCGTGTACGTCTTATGCAAAATCTTAAGTCAATGGGTACTCAAGAAATAAACTCGATATTTAAAAATACCAGTCAGCGGTCTTGAATGAATTTAACAAACAATTTAAACAAATATTCATTTATGATAAATGCTTATCAGCTCATCAGAAAGCAAAGCCAGCATACGTAAATCCCACTCCGTGGCAACGAATTGTGGAAGACACGGAAGAGAGCGAAGAAAATGGATCAAACTATAGGAAAACGCAAGGTCAATCGAAGATTAACCCGAGAAGACAACCTTTATCTTATGATTGATTAAAAATGCTAACGTCAAGAGAATTTTACGATTTGAAGAACGATAATACGATTTGATTCTTTTAAGCAGAGTAGATCACAAACCTTATATTTTAAATTATACACTAGTTTATTGCGAATGGACCGGAGTGGATACATCGCATAATTAGATAAATAACTTTATTTCATAGTAGATATTTTTTTTATCTTACGTTTTACAATCTTAGTGTATGAATACTAGTCTTTGAAGATAATAGCTTTGATCATTGAAATCTCTGATCGTTATTTAAATCAGTGACGGCCACTTGTCCGTCGCTAATTTAGATAAAAGTGAAAGGAAGGAAACAAGAATCCTTGCTCGAAGTTTCTTGAGAGGTAAAAAAAATGAAATATACTTACGCAAAGGCAATTAAAAGAAACGTGTATGGAAAAGCTGAATTATTATTTGTACTATTGATACTGTACTGTATATTACACAACGTCGATTCATTACATGATCGTAATTTTTACACGGGAATAGGAAAGTGCTTGCTACTCATTCGTTGTCTCGTACCTTGAGAAAAACAATACCAAGGACTAGTAATCTTGACAGAACGTACAAAGTGGCACATGGTTTCTTTTATTCCTACTGAACGCACATTATTGAAATCTTTCTCGTATATCGCATTTGTATAAATATTCAAAACGACTGCACGATTAGAGTCATTCAACAGATCTACTTGACTAGAGTTTCCTCTTCTTCCTGGAGCCTCTCGATGTCCGACTTGTTCATGAAATAGTAGGATGGTTGTCGTGATTTCTGGAAACATATTGCGTTAGTTATTTCATTCGTTAACTGCTTTCCAGTTGCATAAATTACTTACTAAATCTTTGGTGATACGTTTCGCACCAGCTTTGATGAGGATGTTGCTTAGTTCCTCTACAGAAGGTAGTCCCATTGCGTAGTGTAAAGCCGTTCGTTCCAGCTAAAATTAAAAACTCTTTCATTTATCTCTTTATTTACTACAAACCCATGTGACTCACGTTGTCGCCAATGCGTAAGGTTTCTGGATATGTCTTTGCAATATATTCGACCAGTTCCTTATTTTCGTGAAGTACCGCAATGTGAAGAGCACATCTGCCCAAAGAGTTCTTCCCCATCGCCAACAATTTTCCTCCTCCGTTGTTTTTGTTCAATAATTCTTTCACTTTCGGTGCGTTACCCAGTCTGATTTCATGATGTACCTCTTCTCGTTGCGTCTGTAAAAAATCTCCGTAGTAATTTGTACATTTTAGATATTGTTTTTGTCTTACCACGTAATTTGGAATGGATTGTAAGAACTGTACGGTTGCTTGTCGTCCTCGTTCCGCAGCGATGTCCACGATGTTCACACCCTCGTCTTTTACGTCCAAAATGTGGTCGTATCCTTCTAACAGTAGCTCCACCAATTTCTCTGTTTCGCCTATCAAAATTTAGGAATTAAAAGATAAAATATTTAGAAAGGTTTGTAAATTATTTCAATGCTTAATATTAATATTGTACCTCTTGCTGCTAAGTAAGCTACGTAACGATCAATTTCATCGACATTTTCCCTGATGTTAGCTAAGTCTGCAACGTCTCTAGCTGTCCTATACAATTCATCTCTGAAACCAACATTCACTTGACTCTCTTGGAGCAAGTGAAACAATCCATCTTTTGCGTAAGATCGAATTGCAGCGAAATGAATTACTGTTTGCCCGTGTTCATCCTGCAGAAATAAAATTGATAAACAGCATAGGTAACATTAAATTAATTTAAACAGTATAGGTTTAATACTAGAACTACCGACCAAAATAAATTAATATAAAGGGGTAGATGAAGAAAGAAGCATAAAGCGTACTACTCTTTATTTCTATAAAGCACATACATTTGGTAGTTCTAGTGTTATATTATTAATTAATATGTACTCTGTTTGGACTGCTAAAAGCTGATTCTGGTATATCAGATCCTGGACTTTGTGGATAACCTGCATCCTCGTTTTCATTTTCAATATTTTCGATGTTCTCCTCATCACGGTCAGGGATGATCAACACGTTAGGTTGCTGAAATATTTTCAAGTTATTGGACAATTTATTTTAATGTTTTATGTATTTACCTGTTCTTGTTTGCTTCTGTTAGCGAAATTGTATAAATAAGTCGCCAAGTAAGTGACGGGATCGTTTGGTCGGTTGTTCGCCACTTCTGTTAAGCCTTTGATCAGTGGATCACCAAGAGCTGTGGATATAAAATTTTTTTAAAATTATTTTCCATATTGCATGACTGTTTCTATACTTATTAAATTTTAATCTCACTTACACGACGCTAAATAACGACCCTCCTCCTCTTGAAATATCGGTATGTCCATCTGGTTGTCGTCTGAAAAACAATATAATCTCATTTTCAAATTAAACAGTATACAAAAACGCATTGCACTCGTTCAACTTGTAACATAGTCAATTACCATTCAATTATCATTTTCAATTACATGATCCATAAAATGTTATACATTTCAAAGGAGCGCAATACGTTTGTAACATCGATTCTCTGTATTTTAATTACACAAATTCCTAGCAAACGCATGGTGAGAAGCACAATGTATTTCACTTCGAAACTCGTGTGCACATATAGAATAGGATTGAACGTAAAATACAGAAGCACATTTACACGAAACTGCGAAAAATGTCACAACATGCCTCGTTGGAAGAATTAATAAGTGAAGGGTTCCTTTTAATACATAATATTTTACATATAAGTCGATCATTCATATGCACCGTTCGTAGAGTACACCAAAGTTGGAAAGACATGTGCTCCGCCATTTCTGGTTTCGTGTGAACATCGAACTCGTGCGTGACACATAAAGAAGCTCTTGGTAAAGTTTGGTCGATTTCTACAAAATTTTCCTTCAGACAATTTTGGTCTCCTCCGAGGTACACATATACACATCTGACGAACGTACGTAAGCATGGTGTCGTGCGACAACATGTAGCAACAACGTTCGTTTCTACTAACCTAATGGCAACCAATGCAGCTTTTCCTTTTTCGTTCAAATTCGATGCACGAGGGACAGAGAATAACGTTCACACACGTCTTTCCAACAATTCTTCTCCCTACAGTTTCAGTCTAGGTTTAATTGGCAGTCGATCGTATTGGCTCATGAATTATCACAGAAAGTTTCCACGTGTAAGCGTATTGGTCCACGAAAAAGAGAATAAGCGATAAAAAGAAAGAATAAAAATCTCCGTTAATATATAAACAACGAAAGAACAAGATGTTCCATTCACGTCCATTAAGTCTGAAACCGTTTCGCGCTGTTGCGCTTGCGAAACAGTCCCGCCAGTAAATTAGCGATTTTCAGCGAATTATTTATCGCCAGCTCCTTCTCCAATGCCAGGATGTTCAGCACAGCCCTGGAGAAGTCTTGAAGTGTTTGCAGCTCGCTGATGCTCAACGACTGTTGATTGCCGATTCGCACCGTGTCCTGTCTAGCCGTTTCCCGCACACTCAGTCCACGAACCACGCACAAGTGTTTCAAATGATCGAACTTCTTCGAGAGTTCCGGGAACTTAACGATGACATTAAATCTAAGAGTATTGCCGATGGCTTGGGGTCTGGCGCTGAGGAAGCCCAGCTTCTTGTCCCGTTTGAAGTCCAGCCTCTCGTCGAGTATCACCATCACCTTAGCCAGTCTCACATAGGTACGACCGATCAGACCGGGTCTACTGTCGTGGGTTCTACAAATAACCCTCAGATGATCCTGAACGTTCACCCAGGCAGCGAGGTCTCCAGCAGAGGATACGTACACTCCTCGCCCATATGGCCAGTGTCTGCCATGAAGACGTCGATCATCGTGCATATCCGTCTCCGCGATGGGCAGCAGTAAACCAGCAGCAGCCAACTGGGCCCTGATGGGACTCGGTTGGTCCATGATCTCATTCAGCGTGAAGTAAGTTCCCGGCTCGTCCTCGCTGCTACCCTCCGCCATCATCCCCGAGATCTCCTGACTCATCAGCTCGCTGGTGATCACTCGTTCCACCTCCTCGAGCTGGTTCACCGTCAAGGTCAAGGGGAACGTATACTTCTCGAGGTTCCTGCAACACTCGACCACCGCAGCCTGAACGTACTTGGCAGGAGGATCGAGGTCGTAGCCTTCGATGGTGGCGATGGTTACTTCATCGAGGGCGTCCGGGTTCTCTTCTCCCTCGCCGTCTTCGTCGTAGAAAAATCTGGGCGGAGGATGATCGGGGAGGTCGCCACTCGCGGTCACGCAGTGAATGTCTCTGATGAGAGGATCGAAGAACTCGGAGAACACGACGTAGCTCTCGTAATCTGGCGCGACGATTGGTACAGAGTCTTCCTCTTCGGCTACGTTGCTGATGGACGAGTACGCGCTACTCGCCTTGCTGTTGCTAGTCGAGTTACCGTATTTCTTTAAAGCGGGCCAGATCACATCAAAGAGATTGTGGTCCATGCGAGTCACACGGTGCTTGATACGATCGAATATGGGCCGTTTCAGGCAACGGCCGATCAGTGTACCGGGGTTGCCTGCCGATTTCATGGTCACACCGTGCCTTGTGCCCGCCAGAAGACGGAAACACCTCTCCAGGGTAGCTAGGGTCTCCGGTTCGGTTATGTCACGACGCGCGGAATACGTGTCGCCTCCAGGAACTGTTTCCGGGGGATGTCCAGAATACGGGAAATTTCGCACAGCCGTTAGTTGTGATGGAGAATTTGATTATTTCGATTAGATTGTGTATACTGTGAATATTTTTGGGTTCTAGGAATCTAGACGTTGAAGAGTATCATCTTTAGTTCTGCTGTATATGTTTGATTTTCGTGAATCCGTGATTTAATGACGGTATGATAGAACTAAGACTCGTGAAAAAAGCAACGTGATAGTTGGAAAACTATGATCACGCGATAGTATTCTCTGGAATGTTCGAAACTGTTTGCAAAAATAAAAACGTGATATATGTTCGACGGTGCGCTGGACGTTCGTACAGTCTCGTTTTAGTGTGATCGATGGTGCTGCGAGTGTATGGTCGAATGAAATACCTTTGTCGGTTAACATCTCGTCGGCGAGCTTCTCGTTCGCACCGAAATCGCGGAGGAGCGACTTGTGAGAGAATTCTGACTGATTTTGCTTGTAGTAATCTGCCTTTTGTCCGAACTATGGGAGATGCATGAAAATAAATGTCGATTTTTTATCATTTATACTAAGATCAAGTAATGAACTCAAGTAATGAAAACATGTCCAGTCGACTTTCAACTAAGAACAAGTTTAGAAAGAAGCTTGCTTATTGCACCAAAGTGTAACAGGTTCATAAAAGTCTCTAACAGTTACATAATTAAAATTGATATAAAATATGTAGTAGTGTAATAGTTATTTACAAAGGAAGCATATTTTGCGAAAGGCAGCAAGGAAATGCTTACATAAAATATACAAAGATGATCAAAATCAGATAATTCTTATGCGTGATGTTAATTTGAAATGATTGACAGTAAGAATTATATAGAATACGATTTAGAATAATTGATAACAGAGAAAATAGCACTCACGTTGTCTTGAACTAAAGGATTGGCACCCAGATGAAGCAGAAGATTGTAGTAATGGCCGTTGTCTGCGAGAGTGGCTGCATAGTGCAAGGGGGTTCGACCATCCAAATCGATTGCATGCGCGGTTTCTGGAAACCTTCCTGCAAGATACCTAAGTGGAACAATGCATGATTAATGGGACAGTCGACAGGAATCAATAAAACTTAATTACACGACAACGTAATTCGTAAATTGCTAACAAGTCCTACTACATTACTATTCTCTAAACTTTTATTTTTGTTATACTTCAAACGTGACCTCGTTTGAACTGTTTCAAGTTGTCACTTTCGTGACGAGAAATATATAATTCTGCGGTGAAAAATTCTAGGGTTGTACAATTTTTATCTTAACAGCAGAAAATTGAACGGTTCGAAGTTTATAACTTATATCAAGTCGAAGTTGTTACAAATTATATATTATTTAACTGCTATGTGAAAACCTGCTTGTCTATTGACCCTCTTTTGATTAGAGCTGAAATTTTATGCGTTTATTATTATACAAATTATATTTTGAGGATTTAGCTCTTTTAAGAAATTGTATAGAACATAGATTTTTTCAGTGACTCATGGAATGGTTATGTCTCTGTTACCATCGTTATTGATTTATATATTTTTAGACTCTAAGAAAGATGACAGTATTGTTTGGATTTTGAACATATTTCCTGTAGAGTATTTAATAATTATTTCATTAATAAAATACAATTATTCTGTACAAATAAATGTGTAGATAACTGTAATTTAATTTACCTAATAATAGTTGTGTTTCCAAACACAACAGCTACGTGAAGTGGTGTTGCACCATGTGGGGACGAACCATCCCTCGCAATAGCAAATTTACGACGATCCAGTGCACTCTGCAAATCCCTCAGGTTTCCTTCTCTTGCTGCCATGTGCACAGCATGAATTTTCCCCTGAAAATGATTAACAATACCATCATTAAAAAAAACATACTCATTCAAATAAGGTCACAATTGAATAATCAATGTTTACAAACAAAACAATTTACAACTTCTTTCTGCAAATAATAGCAATTACTCATATTTTCATTATTATAGTAAACAAAGTACTTAACGAAGCTTAAAAAGTTATTACGAAAATTTAAGGTATTTTTACAACATATCTTATCATAAAATATAGAATTTAGATAGTTCTGTTCTAAATTTTCTGCAGGTATAATGACAGAAATAGTAAACAAGTTAATTATCGAGGTATGAAAAGAATCTTGAGACGCACAAGATTTATTTTAATACACGAAAAAGGAGCATCTCATAAATCGAATCAATTTAATGCTCGGTCACTCGCCAACTCAATTACTTAATGGATCTAGAGAGACAGTAATTTGTACAAGGGCAATACAAGGTCGTTCGATAAGCAAAAAAAACAATTTGTTTTCGCAAAAATTTTGCGTAATACCATGTAAGAAGGGACTCGATCGATGAACGCCTGGAGTTCAGGATTCCCCGAACGTCGGCCAACCAATCTTCTGCCTTCTCCGTTCAAAACCAATCCCGCCAATTGCTCCATGTTCCCGTTCTCCAACAGTTTTTCGATTTCCGGATCCGCCGTCATGCTGGCCTCGTTCACTTCTGTGTCCGGCAGTTCCTCGTGTTCACCGACGATCACCTGCTAATCATGCTTTGGTGGAAAACCATGCGCACACACGACAGATGCCGATCGATAGGGGAAAATATTAATCATACTTGGCAATCTACACGTGAATCGATCGCGAGCTGTTTTCATTTCAACTTTCGATTGCGTGCAGCTGCGTGCACGATTCCCTGTATTTTTTTCATGATCGATGGCGAGACACGCTGTCCCTTGCTACGTTTCTTGCATAATTCTGTGATTTGTTTATGATGGAGCAAACGGCTCTGCGAGTTAATGACAGTTTTATTGGAGGAAAGTAAACAAAGTCTTCGTGAATTATGTAAGAGTCATTTTGTGGGGGCTGTGATTTCAGGGTAGTTACGTTTGAAGGTTAGGCATGAAGGTTATGAAAGTAGATGGTATTATGTTAAACGAAGGTAGGGAATTTTCAATAAACTGCAAAATTTAATTGTGACCTGTTCATTAATGTGGAGTATTGTAATGAGTCTGAACTTGTGATGAGTCTTTTCTATATTTTTTCGAACTCGAGATTAACACATTATTGACCAGTTATGAGTATACTCTAACTCATCACTTTACATAATTATTAAAGTACAAAATTATGTAAGTTGTTATAAGACTGTCTATTGTGTTGGATGATCTTGATATAGTCATGTAAATAATTATTAATAAAGCTGTTCATATTTAACTAGACTTGATCCTTTTAGTTCAATCACATCAAAATAACCGATCAATAATGTGTTGATAGAATACACTCGCAAAATAATAAATTGCGTGTAATAACGAAATCATTTTTTATTATCAGAATAACACAAAGTCGAACTTCGAGTGCGATTTTATAGAAACTAGTCGATTTATTTTCCCTGCTACCTCTGTCAATTTTTATCGAACCACTTTGTTCTGACACTTCATCCGCAACCATATGATTTTACCTAAAGCATTTTTTTATCATTCTGAAGTTGTTATATAACTCGGTTAATGTAATTCAATCCGCGACAAACGATGAACAAAAGAATGAACAGAGACGATCGTTAAAAGATTGTCATCAAGTTTTTATGGGTCTGTTGCATTCGGAAGTTACACAACAGAAGTTCTTTGCTCAATTATTTATTTATTGGTATAATTGTGCGTGACAAAAATCATACTGCATAATACTTTGATATCGATCGATTTATAATTTTAATACACACGATACCCTAATAGTATTCTGTCATTTGCAACTGTTGTATGTTGTATGTTGCTACAACTAACTAAATACAGTTGGCTTTTGTTGTATTGCCAGTTGGATGATTCTTTTGTGAATTCGAGTCTGAGAATTTGGAAAGAGTTGAATTTTTGTAATTTTTAAATTTTATTTAGAGATTAGGGGATTTAGGAATTTGACAATTTTAGAGTTTGAGAATTTTGGGATTTAGGGAATTTAGGGGATTTAGGGGATTTGGGGAATTTGGGGGTTTGGAGGTTTTGGAGATTTAGAAATTTAGGGATTTGGGTGTTGGAGGTTTGGAGATTTAGCGATTTGGGAATTTAGTGATTTGTGGAGTTAGGCATTTGGAAGATTAGGGATGTGAGGATTTGGTGATTTGGAGGGTTAAACATTTGGAAGATTAGGGATTTGGGGATTTAGTGATTTGAAGAGTTAGGCATTTGGAAGATTAGGAATTTGGGGATTTGGTGATTTGAGGGTTAGGCATTTGGAAAATTAAAGGTGTGGATATTTAGTAATTTAGAGGGTTAGATGTTTGGGAGATTAGGAATGTGGGCATTCAGTGATTTGGAAGGTTAGGCATTCGGAAGATTAGGGATTTTAATACTTAATTTGAAGGGTTAGGAATTTGGGGATGTACAAATTTGAAAATTCAGCAGATAGGAAACTTGTAAATTTTCACTACAGAAACTTGCAAACCTTGGAGTTCAAAAATGTTAAAATTTACAATTTCAGGAATTTGCCTCTCTTACAATTCAAAGATTTGGTAATTGGAAAATTAAGAATGTGTTTAAAAATTCAAAAATCTGAGAATTTAACTTACAAATTCGAAATCGATGACCCCATCCTCCCGTCCACGGCAATACAACGAGAGTCACTGTAACTACACACGAACGAACGACCCTACATATCTAAGTGTTTCATCACTCATACTAGTCACATTAAAATATCGCTTCATAGATTTATATATATATTTCTCACTCATAAGTCTCACATTTACGTCTGTGCTATTCTTGAAAATCGGATTCGTCTAAGTGTTATGGTGTGACTGTACCTGGTCTTCGTCGTTTCCCGGATCATCAACACCAGAATCACCTGTGCTTGGCTCGTTTCTTTCTTCTTGTTCCCCTTTTTCCTCCTCCTTTTCTTCTTTCTCGGCATCTGGAGATTCTTTATTCTCTTCATTTTCATTTTCTTCTTCTTTATCGGGTTCTGTTTCAGGTTCTGCTTCAGGTTCTGCTTCAGGTTCTCCTTCTGCTTCTCCTTCTGGTTCTGCTTCTGCTTCCGCTTCTCCTTCCTCCTTTGCGTCTTCTTCAGCCTCTTGCGTCACTGTACCTGTCACCACGTCATCATCCGAGGACCTTTCTTCTGTATCCTCGTGTGTAGTCTCCTGCGTGCTTTGCTCTTCTTCTTTCTCTGCAGTTTCTGTCTCTTTCGAGTCCTCTGCATTTTCTGTACCCTCTGCGTTCTCTGCGTTTTCTGCTTCTTCTTGGTGCTCTTCTTTTGGGGACTCTTCCTCCATGTTCTTTATCTAAAATATTTCAAGATTATTAAATTTTGTATGAATTGATCTTGGGGTGGTTTGAGAGGTCGATGAAGGGAGGTTGTTTGGGGTTGTTCTTGAAGAGGAGGACGAAGAGGGGTTGTTTAGGGTTGTTCTTGAAGAAGAGGATGAAGAGGGGTTGTTTAGGGCTGTTCTTGAAGAGGAGGACGAGGAAGGGTTGTTTGGGGTTGTTCTTGAAGAGGAGAACGAAGGGAGGTTGTTGGGGGTTGTTCTTGAAGAGGAGGACGAAGAGACATTGAATAAATATTTTCATATTCAAGCTATGGGATGTTGCAACATTTTTTATTACAAAACGTGTGAGAAGAACTTATAAGACATAATCAATAATTGTCTTCCTCAAATAAAATTTAATTTCTCAACTTCTAAAATCTAAAACAAGATTGAAATATAATAAAACCATGATAGCATTGAGCAAAATTTTTTCTTCACAAAAAAATACATAATTTTCTACAAAAAATCATTCCATAATTTTTCCACAAAATTTAACTAAGCCTACCTGTTCCATAGACTTGCTCAAGCTCTTCGTAGCAGACTCAGCGCTCCCAAACGCACTGTCAATATCCGCACTGTTAACTTTTCTCATTCCTCTCGACATAGCTTCCTCCACTTCCAGAATCCTCCAGTCCCAGTGTTTGGGGTACGACGTGCTAGCAACCCTCGGTGCTTCCGGTATCACGTTCAGCAGCGATTGGTCTATATCCGACGGTCTGTTCTTGTAGAAGGCCGCCGCCTTGTGTCTCTAATTGCCAGATCAATAAATTTATAGTCGACTCGATGTTGAATATAAATAAAAGCATCATTAAATATAAATAAGTGCGGGATTGCCACTGATTGATTGATTTCTGATTGCTTTTGGAGTTTAATCATTAATCGGGTTCAGTCGACTCTGATTAGATGACATATTCATATCTTTGGGTGACATGTTCGTATCTTTGGGTGACATATTCGTATCTTTAAGAGACATATTGGAGACATATTATTTTAGGAGAAATATTAGTATCTTTAGACGATACATTCACATTTTTATTTGGTCACATTGATGAATAATCAAATTAATGTGTAATCATATTGGTTGATTTGCATCTTGTTTCTGTTGGAAACAAATTTTGATCGTGTACCGAGTTCTACTTAAAAAATAATTCTATAAAAATAGTTCTTTGCAAAAAATGTATTTTAATATTGCAATACGTAGTTTACTAGAGCTAATACCTAATTTATTACATTATATTTATATTGCTATTACATTATAATTTTTATTATTCGTTCAACTCTCCACAATTATATTATTCCACATGTTCAGCATTCTTTATAATTAACTTAAAAATTGATACTCTGTCAAAAATTGTAAAATACGTAAAATAGTTTACGTACATTGTCTAATTTGCTCTCGTCAGCCCCATGCTCCGCCAATAAAGTATACAAAACCCCATCGTCTTTTGCTGCAGCCGCATAATGCAATGGCGTCTTTCCATCATTGTCTTGCGCTTCGACAGTCGACGGATATCTCGAGAGAATCTCTCGTGCGATTTCCGTGTGCCCCAATCCTGCAGCCTATTTAATTAAAGAAAAATTAATTAACCTTCAAATAATACTTTCAGAATTGCATCTAGTATTTGTTAGTTATATACTTTGTGCAAAACGTTTAAACCGTTGTTGTCTTTGCCACAAAGAACTATGGGCGACGTCGAATCGATTTTATTCCTGAGTTCATCTAAATCGTTGTTTACTGTGGCTGCATGGACATCTTTTACGGTACCCTGTGATATAGAATAAGTACATTTAGATAAATTATAATTTTTGTTTCTTTTTTAGTACAATAAATTATTTCTTTTTATAATTCATTTTGTAATTCATTATAATTTATTTCATTATTTCATTACAATTCATTTTATTATTTCAATATAATTCATTTTATTATTTCATGTATGGGTAATGGTAATAAAAAGGCAAAATTATGAGCTTTTTTAAGAGTCGATACTAACCATTATAAAGGGTACAGCTTCCAGAAACCTTTTTACGCGAGGGTTGTTGCTGGTCTCCATTCGCAACCTGTTACCGTGTCCTTCCCACAGGACTTGCTGCAATTTCCCAAGATCTCGATTGTGGATCCATATTCTTATTGTAGAAGGTTTGAAATCCAGAGCTGAAAGTATTACATCTTGAAAATATTAATTAGCCAAACAGGTCCAACCTTCCAAAGTCCCAAATTCCCAATGTTCCAAATTTGCAAGTGTCCAAACTCTCGAATTCCCAAACCCCCAATCTTCCGAATTCTCTACTTCCAAAATTTCCGAAGGTCCCGAATTCCTAAAGTTTCAAATTTGCAAATTTCCAAACTCCCAAATTCCCAAACCCCTAAGCTTCCAAATTCTCTACTTCCAAAATTTCCAAAGTCCCAAATTCTCAAAGTCCTAAATTTTCAAAATTCCAAATTTCCAAGGTCCCGAATTCCTAAAGTTCCAAATTTGCAAATTTCCAAACTCTCGAATTCCCAAACTCCCAAGCTTCCAAATTCTCTACTTCCAAAATTTCCAAAGTCCCAAATTCTCAAAGTTCTAAATTTTCAAAGTTCGAAATTTCAAAGTTTCCGAATTCCTAAAGTTTCAAATTTGCAAATTTCCAAACTCTCGAATTCCCAAACTCCCAAGCTTCCAAATTCTCTACTTCCAAAATTTCCAAAGTCCCAAATTCTCAAAGTCCTAAATTTTCGAAGTTCCAAATTTCAAAGGTTCCAAATTCCTAAAGTTCCAAATTTGCAAATTTCCAAACTCTCGAATTCCCAAACCCTCAATCTCCCAAATTTCGAAAGTCTCGAATTAAGGTGCCTACTGATTTTGAAAAATGATATTACTCTTATAAAAATAATATTCTAAGAAATATAGAAATAATATTTAATTTGTATAAATCTTTCATTATACATAAAACTTGTATGACCATGTAAACTGATCTCCATTTTTTCCATCCAACAAAACTCCATTTTTCGTTTCAATCACTGTATTAAATTTTGATTGAACAAAAGTATAGTTTAGTTCTTATACTATAAAGTTTGTTAGAATTAATGAAAAGAAACTGAATGATCTGAGTTAATAACTTTATTGAAAATATAATATATGACGTCCTTCAACTCCAAAGTCCCACGTCCACATGTTTAATAATTGATAGTAATATGAATTAATTGAAAGGTTATTGTTCTATAATTTTTCTAAGTGTCGTATAGTCTTCTGGGTATACGTATTTCGGTTATTAAAAATTGACGAGTAGTAACATTTACAAGTTCACATCGCATGTTAGAACATCGTGATTAATATTTTAGGCACTCGAGGGAATCCAGCGAGTATCGATTTTGTGTTCAACATTGTTATTCTTCTGACAACGCAAATAGAAAGATAGCAATTTTTAATCCTTTCTAGACCTCGTCTTTTACATACCTCAAGTACATTAAACTAGGAAACGTTCAAATTCTCTGTAGCTAAAGAAATCAATCATACTACGATTAAATATAAAACTGTGAAGCAATCAAATCGATTTTTAGATAACTTTAATGATCAGTTAATGTTCACGTGTTTGCATAATGTTTTTGTACTAGTATAATTACTATAATTGCGTATGCATGATCCAGGAAACTAGAATCTAGGGCATTTTAGTACTTAAGGAGAGTTATAGAAGAGAGTTAAATATTATACATTATATAAGATTGTACTATTTCATCGAATTAATAAGAAATAACTAATTTCCCTGCAATATTCAATAATTCGAGTAATAGCGAATTAATAAAATTAAAAAATTAAAGATTTACAGAGACAACAGAGATTTATTGAGACAAATTTTTAAATAAAATGTAGAAGAATAAAGTTTAAAGCTTCAGTACAAAATAACTTAAAATAATTTAAAGCCTCAGTACAAAATCATTTTCCGTTTAATATTATAAATGTTGTCGATTCTAAAAGCACGTGAAAATCACATGTTTCATTTGATTTAAATTATAAGAAGGTACGTCGAGCGTTTCGTTTTGACCTGAATTGCGTGTTCCACGGTGGATTAATAAATTTTTGAAAAGCCAGCCGAGTGCACGGACCCCGTCACTCACTGACACGTTTACACCGTATCTACCTTACTTGTTTTCTTGTTAAATAGATCAATCAAGCAGTCCGGAAATGCTGGTACACCTTATAGGTACCGACATCGTGTGACTTAACATGTGTTGTGCCTACTATGTTAATAATACATGTCTATGTGTCTCGAAATTTTCATGTGTCCAGATTCTTGGATTTCTGGATTTTCTTTCCTTGTTGTCAAATTTTTACATTTGTAATTTTTTGATGTTTGACAGAGTTCAATTTCTATGTTACTTTCTCAAATTATAAATTCCTACATTTGTTATTTATTAAATACACATGTTCTTAAATTTACAAATTATGAAATTGACAAGGTAGTAGATTCACAAGGTTCTAAGTTACTACAATAAGTTACTACAAAAAATTTTTAAATTTTCAAGTTGTACTACTTCCAAGTTGTCCTGTTCTCAAGTTGTCCTATTTCCAAGTTGTCCAACTCCCAAGTTGTCCAATTCCCAAGTTGTCCTATTCCCAAATTCCCAAAGCCCCAAATTCTCAAAGTCCCAAATTCCCAAAGTTCCAAATTTCTAAACTTCCAAACCCTCAAATTCCCAATCTCCCAAATTCCCAAACCCTCAAATTCCCAATCTCCCCAATCCCCAAACTCTCAAATTCCCAATCTTCCAAATTCCCAATCTTCCAAATTTCCAAACTCTCAAATTCCCAAACTCTCAAATTCCCAATCTCCCAAATTTCCAAACCCTCAAATTCCCAATCTCCCGAATTCCCAAATTCCTAATCTCTCAAACTCTCTAATTCCCAAATTTCCAAAGTCCCAAATTCTCTAATTTCCAAATTTCCAAAGTCCCGAACTCTCAAAGTTCCAAACTTCCAAATTTCCAAACTCTCGAATTCCCACTCTCCTAAATTTCCAAATTTCCAAATTCCCAAATTCCCAAATTCCCAAATTCCCAAATTCCCAAATTCCAAAATCCCTAAATACCAATTCTCACTCTCCCAATTCTCAATCCCCTTTCTCCTTCCCCAAAATTTCCAAATCCTCCCCAACCTAACTCTCTAACCTAACAAATGTACCAAGTCTGACGTGTAATCCGATTTGTGTACACGTGTTCACCGTATGGTTAATAAAACTTTAACTCAAGTCCAAGAAGAATTATAGGTCTCTAAAAGTTCGTGAAATGTCGAAACTGTTTAACTACACATTAAACACAAGGTTTAAACGAGTAAATCACGTACTATTTGCATACGATGACAAGAAATTTCATTTTGTACCATATGTACAAATTAAAATGCCGAAGTAATGACACAGCTCTGTTCAATTCATTTATTTCCACTTCATAGAACCGTTACGTCACTGTATGGTATAGTCATCATTGATTTATCGCGAAAATTCACCTTCCGCTTTTCTAAACTATTCACATTTTCCCGGAACAGTTTAATATTTAATTCATGAATGACGAATGAAAATACCATAGCAAGGTGGCGACTTTTAATTTGTCGATGAATAATTTTTAACGCGAAATGTTTGTGTAAACGTATTATTGTCAGGAATTTAAAAAATCACTTTGTTATGTCAGTGTAATGGCAATCAGTCGTTTAACAAATTATAGTTTTTGAACATCTTTTTAATAATTCGTTGCTCGATCGTTCGGAACATGTTATCTTATCGATCCTGGCAATTTTCCTTGCCTTACACATTTAAGTTCTATCGATCCTTTCGGGTCATTACCAAGAAGATTCTGTAGGGTATATGTCAAGGAATCTACATCCATTGATTTTACAAGGTTGACATTAATCCCTGTATTTAAGCTTGGCCACTTTGTGTGCGGTATTTTATGAGATAGAGTGTGCGTAGGGTCGCCATTTTTCACCTTGAATTCTGTACAAAGTACAGATTATAGCTCTTCCTTGAAATTGAGTATTGTATTTCAAGTTCAAAAATAATTACAAAAAATAAATTCCACCAATGTTTTTTAAATATCAATAATTTTAGTGTATTTTTTAAAAGATGATATGTATTGGAATTTTTTAATCAGCATCCTTGAAATATTAAACAACAAGAACAAAACTAAATTATTACAAAAAATAAATTCCACCAATGTTTTTTACATATCAATAATTTTAATGTATTTTTAAAAGATGATATGTATTGGAATTTTTTAATCAGCATCCTTGAAATATTAAACAACAAGAACAAAACTAAATTATTACAAAAAATAAATTCCACCAATGTTTTTTACATATCAATAATTTTAATGTATTTTTAAAAGATGATATGTATTGGAATTTTTTAATCAGCATCCTTGAAATATTAAACAACAAGAACAAAACTAAATTATTATAAAAAATAAATCCTACCAATATTTTTTAAATATCAATACGTTTAGTGCATCTTTTAAAAGAACAAATAGTTTGAAATTTTTTAATCAGTGTCCTTGAAATATTAAACAACAGCTACAAGAACAAAACTAAACTTAATGAACAATTTAGTGTAGGTACTATTATAACTGTGAAATGTTTTGACGATTAAAAATGAATTATCTGTTAATTTTTTTTACTGTTATGTTAATATATGTACGAGGTTTGTAGTTGATTAGTGTACCTGATTACTTACATTCTTTGGAGCTGCTTGCTTTTCTTCGAGACATGATTTCCACTTCCGACAATTCGATCTCTGATCTGTGATCTAGGTAATAAGACGCAGGGTTGCCTTTTTTATCGCAAATACTTGCGTCGCACTCGTTTTCTATGAGAACATCCCAAATGGTCGCAGGGTCTTTGCAACCGGCACAGTAATGCAAAGCTGTTCTACCTTCCTGAAAATTTATAAGAAAAATCTAGCTTGTACACAGAATTTTTAAATAACATTCCTCAGGAGAAATTTAGCTTGCAAACTTCTATAATTTGAAGAGCATAAAAATTCAATAACATTGCACTTCAAAATTGCTGTCCTTCCTGAAAATTTACAAGAAAAAATCTAACTTATACTTATAATTTTATGTAAATAAAATTTCTGAGAAGAAATTTAGCTTGCAAACTTCTGCAATTTAAGAAGCATAAAAATTAAAAAAATTGCTGTTCTACCTTCCTGAAAATTTATAATAAAATATCATCTAACTTGTACACACAATTTTATTTAAATAAAATTCTTAAGAAGAAATTTATCTTGCAAACTTCTACAATTTAAAAAGTATAAAAATTCAAAAAATTGTAAATTACCTATAATCACCTAAAGCATCTAAACTTCATAAAAAAAGTAATCAACTCACAATTGCTCAAACGCAAAAATAACTTTTCATTTCACCAAAAATAATATAACAATTTTACAATATTTCTCAGTACAGTAATAAAATGTCTAAAGAAGAAGAATAAAACGTGTGAAGCGAATGAACCCCAGTGGCTCAAAGTCTCTCTGAAAGTTGCGCAGTGAAAAAAGAGGAGCAAGAAATATTGCCACTATTAAAGAAGTATTCCAAGAGAATGGGGGTGTAAACGCCAAGTCGACGACAGTTAAACGGAGAATGTGTGAGGGTTGAATTGTGATCGGGGGTGAAAAAGGGGGTGAAAAGTTGGCGTTTGGCATATTTCAGGCTGCGTGTACCGGGACGCAATGTTAGATGACTGCAGGGAAGAACAGGTGGTTTACACTTCGTTATTAGCCCTGGCACGCGATCGTCGTTACGAAAAATGACTTTTCGATTATTCACGAGTCGAATATCTTGCTCAAACATCTTTGTCACGATACCTACTGATCTTGCAATTGATTCATATCGAAGTTTCTATAGTAGTTTTATATTCTTTCATATATTTTTCTTTATCAAGTTTTTATCTTTATTTTGGTCGATCTTTTAGGTCTTCAAGTTTTCTGACTTCGCTAATAAAATTAGAAGTTGTGAGTTGTACAAGATTATGCTGTATGCAATAAGACAATGTAAATAAGCAATTTTTGAGTTGTTAGGTTAGGTTTCAAGCTTCAAAGTGTCCCACGAATTTTTCACCCTTTCTGCAGGTTTCAGACATTTTTCATTTCTGTTACATATTATTATGCAAGTGTTGCATATACACAGTGTAAAAGTATAAAAGAATAGTATAAATAGTATAATAGTATAAAAGAATTTCTTTGTCCTATCGTATATGCAATATTTAATAAATTCTACGTATGAAATTCTGTAGAATTATGAAGAGTTAAATGTGTAAATATAAAAAGTGGAGATATACTTTATCTTTCTGTTGAACAGTGATGGGATAATTTTGCACGAGCCACTCGACAATGTCCAACTGATCGTAGTAAACCGCTTTGTGAAGCAAAGGGATGCCGGAAGGATCCTTCGCGATGGCCAACTTCTTCTTAGGCTCCTCCAATATGAGTCTTTGCGTCTCTGCCAAGGAACCACGCACAACTGCGTCATGCACCTGAGATATTTTCGTCTGTAAAAGAAAATGTAATACAGATCTTCCCATACATTTTTCTGGGAGTAAATATGTCGCGGAGTTTACCAAGTAGTTTGGGAGTCCTTTCAGGAAGACTCGAGTTTTCAGATCTGGAGAGTGTTCACCTAACAGACGAGCTCCGCGCCCTTCCAGCACGACATGTTCTAATTTTTCTACTTCGCCACGTAGCAACCAGGACTTTAGCGTTGTTGGATTCATCTGCGACTGAAATTTATTGACAATTGTAAAATTAAATTGAGTAGTGAGAATTGATGTCTTGAAAAATTTGGGGGACATGTTGGTTGAGTGAAGAACAAATTAAAAAATTAAAATTAAACTTGTTTTAGTTGAAAATATTCTGGGAGGTCTGCAAGATCATATGGGGTTGTTAACTTGTTTAAAACAGGTTTGATTGAGTGCAAAAGATTAAACAAGAGTTCAAAAGTAACTTTTTTATTTGCATTTTGTTCTCTCAAATTTTCAAACGTAGGTTTTTAGCGTTTAATTTATTTTATTATGCTTTTAACCTTGGTATAATTATTTTTAAATGATCAAATGATTTATAAGTAAGAAACTTAGGTGAATATTTGAGTGCGTAGTTCCTAGAGGGTTAGAAGCCTTGGTTAGGTGTCTCTAAAAATAGAAAAATAAAGGTGACAGAAAGTCGTTATTAAAAGAACTATACTTTTTTCCTAAAAATACGACTTAAATCCGTCAATATTCCACAAACGTCACGAATCACGAGTCTCGTAGCATTCGTTATTGATTCTCCATCAGCCTTACGGAATCGAAAGCATATCTGTTTAAGTTCCCCGTTTCAGTATTATTGAAGACATACCTGACACGTCATTCATAAAAACAATTTGCAAAATGAAAATTTAATATCATCAACAAAAGCTGGTTATTGGATTGATCAGAGTTCAATTGCTTAATTTTATTCATCATTTGGGAATTCCCATGAAACTTAGTGATACTTTAAAGTTATCGTTGTTATTCTATTTATTTGAACATGGGTCAGACATTAATTAATTAAAAGGAGATAATAATGAATCATATCGTATTGAAGGGGTCAAAGAAATAAGTATTAATGATCAAGGAGAAACAAATTAATATGGCGCATTCTTGTTGAAAAGACGGGTCGGGAAATCCCATGATTTGTGGGTCAAATGTGAAGCTGAATGTGGCACGAATAACGCAATCGCATGCTTTATTTGCGTCGAGATGTTCACTTATGGAGAAAGTTTCTTTAGATTCTATTCAATTTTACATCAAAAACCTAGACACAAGATTACTATTCAATTATAGGCATATCACTATTGTTTTAGAGTTATTCTTTAGTTTTTACAATCATATCACAAGTTTAACTGTTTGAAAAATTATGGTATTATTATTTTTATTGTATCTTCCATTTTAATATTTTAAAAAAAGTTTTAACATAATTGATGTTAATTTAAGTATTATTTTAATTGTGTCTCAATACTATTGATCAGTATGTTCAATCATTTTGAATGATTTTTTAATAATTCCAATATTGATGTATGTCAATAATATTATTAACGATAATATGTAATTAATTAAATAATATTACATATTGTTAATAATATGTAATAATGTTATTTGACATAATTGATGTTAATTTAAGTATTGTTTTAATACTGTCTCAATACTATCAGTCAATATTTCCAATCATTCTAAATAATTTTTTAATAATTCCAATACTGATGTACATCAATAATATTATTAATAATATATAACAATATTATTTAACATAATTGATAATCATTTAAGTATTGTTTTAATACTGTCTCAATACTATCAGTCAATATTTCCAATCATTCTAAATAATTTTTTAATAATTCCAATATTGATGCACATCAACAATATTATTAATAATATGTAACAATATTATTTAACATAATTGATAATCATTTAAGTATTGTTTTAACACTGTCTCAATACTACTGTTCAATATTTTCAACCATTCTAAATAATTTTTTAATAATCCCAACATTGATTTGACATTGTTTAACCAAACTTTCTAAATAAAAATTGCGTGTGCAAGATTGATCATTGATTTAATACACGTGTCAAAGTAAACACATTAATAAGTCACAGGAAGTATTTACTGAATTCCAAGAAACTCTTTTTCATTTAATTTTACAGTTTAGAGCACGTGGCGGCAAAATAGGTGGTTAATTTTTGCGACGGTAAGACGTCGAGTTGATCGAAACTAATTGCAGTCTAGCTACGTGACTAATAGTAACGTGAATGACGTCGCTTTTTTTTCAATGGAAATATTTGTCGATTATCTATTAAGGAAAGTTGCAGGAAAGCATTGATTATGGAAATTGTGCAACTCTGAATCGAGCGCATTAGCTGAATTGTAAATTCATTCACTCTAGCTGTTAATCAATAATGCGTGGGTCTGAATATATCACACATTCTTATAATTGAATAGTTGCGGTGTGACAGTAATTTGCAAAATAGGTTTTTAAAAATTGATGACAGACTCTATACATTTAATCTAGCAAGTAAAAAAAAGAAAAGTTGGAGAAACAATTCTGAATTGAAATTATGTAAGAAAAAATAAAATTCGTTATTAAGTTAAAAATTATTAAAAGGTATTTTAATATCAATGTAATAGAGTAATTCAATAAACGAAAGGAAAAATAAAAATTGAAACAGAATTACTATAATAATGTAAAACCACAATAATGCAAGACAAGAGACTAAAATACAGAATACATCAAAACTAAAACACTGTAAAATAGAAGAGCAATAATTTCAATAAAAGAAGAATTTTTAACAGAAGGAAAATAAATTTGATACAAGAAAAATTTTTAACAGAGGAAGAATGATTTCAATGAAAGAATAATTTTTAACAGAAGAAGAATAATTTCAATGAAAGAATAATTTTTAACAACAGAAGAATAATTCCAATAAAAGACCAATTTTTTAACAGAAGAAGAATAATTACAAGTAAAAAACCTTGTCGTTACAGAGAACGAACATACTTGACAATCCACATTATCAAGTAATATTACTTGTTTTCCGTGTGAAAAATAAAAGAAACTGAACAAACAACGAGTGCACAGATTGCAACAGCGGTGATTGCGATCAACAAATAAAAAGCATTCCGTGGAAAACCATCAACAACAAAGCATGTGAATAGTGCGCTATCGACGCCTATCGATCTGATCTTGTCAATTGTTCACCATAATCGTCCTTGAAACGCGTAATTACCTGATGGACATCGGATCACAGCGAACTCGTCATGTCGAAATGATAGTTCGCAGCATGTTG